CCCCAAAACCCCAAAACCCCAAAACCCCAAAACCCCAGAAGTCTGAAGGGTAAATAAAATCCTCAATTTTTAGGCTTATAAAAATAAATATGAAGTTCGGTAATACAGGTAGAGATATTACAGACAAAAAGAAGTTTATGACCAAACCTAAGAAGAGCGACTTCTTAGAAAGGTTCAAGGGAAGAACTTCCCAGATTAGTACTGATGGACATCTGGGAATTGTGAAGAATACCCATACTCCTATCAAGCCTGTTCATTCTGGAGGGATGGACATGTATAACAATCATAATCAAAATCAAATGAATGGCGGTAACATGATGCCCATGGGCAATCATGGAGGTTACAGTAAGTCTATTGATGAGAGATAAGCTCTCTTGAAGGGTTTTAGATAAAATTTGTTGATTTCTCATCTCTCATTTAGGTAGCTCGATTGGACCTCATCCAACTATGAAGAAGTCTAACTCCTTATCAGGGGAAGCATTTCAGACGAGGAATAGTCGATATTCATCTTTTGCACAAAATCATCAGAAAGTAGACAATAGTTATAAAGAGAGCCAGCAAAAGCAGCCTCACAAGAGGTCTCTTGCAAATATAGGAGGTCATATAATGGGTGGAAGCATGAAGTCTCTTCATGAGTATCCCAAGATGCATTCTAGCAAGACAAATATCCCAAATAATGCTATGAGGGAGTCGACTCTAAGCTACCAGAAAGATATCAATATACCAAATTCCAGTAAAGAGAATCCAAGCAATCATAATTTTTTGCTTCGACAAAACATTCAATATATGGGAAAAGGGAAAAATAATCACCAGAAGACTAATTTTTACTCTTCTAAACAAGGAAGTATGGACCATTACGGCCAGAAAGGAAGTAGTAGTGGGCCTCCTATGCGTAGAGCTCCGTACCCTTCCAGTAGCTTCAGTGGAGGAAATAGTGATGGATTCACTCATACATCTGTCTCGACTCCTCATGAGTACCAAAATGCGAATTTTAACAGGTCTAAAGGACAGAAAATTCCTCAGAAAATGGGTAATATGAACGCTCAGCTATCAACGTTAAGGAGATCAATCCAAAATGACAGGCAAGGATATCCATCTTTAAGGTAACTTTGGGCAATAAATCTCTTTTAGTCACACACATAAGCCAGAAGATCTGAAATTTGCTGCTCAGAATGCTTTCAGAGGATCGAAGCCCTCGAATAATTTATCAAGTACAATGCGCCCACAGAAAAATCCAAAAATAAAGAAGTGTTACCGCAAAGGCTAGTCTTTCAAACAAGGTACTGAACAAACTTTATCTTAACATTGTTTTTGAAAACTTTCATAAATTCTTTGCCCACGTAAAGGAAACTTTGACAGTTGGGTATTTTGATATTATTCAACATTTTGTCTCACCAAAGGGGTTTTGGGGTTTTGGGGTTTTGGGGTTTTGGGG